TTACGCAGAAATAAAAAATTTGAAAACATGCAGAGAGTAACCAATGTGAGATAAACGCGGAGGTTTATTGACAAAAATAAAAATTAAGCATTCTAGTAACCCAAACGAGATTTCATTGTAAGTTTAATGACTACCATATAAATAAAATTTGGTTCAGCAATGTAATATTTGGAAATCTTATTTTACATATGCTGCAATTTTATAATCTCTAAATTATTGGAACCTTGAGCAATGGCGGATCCATGAATATTTGTGAGCTAGGGCAGCCATTGACCACCTTTGATAGTCAACGTAATAGCGAGGTCGTCTATCAACTTTTCAATCATATATTTCATCAATTTATATGAAAATTTAATAACAGTCTGATTTTTCTCAAAATAAAACATGGCTTAGCTAATTTCCCTTTCTAATGCAGGGATTGAACATCAATGACCTTAAAAGAGCTATGCAGTCAAACATTATCCTACACCTTCTACAAATTGCCCGAGCTGATAATTGCAAGGTCGATACATTATATAGGCTCGTCTTTATGGGAGTAGATGGGCTCGATAGAACGGTACACATCAAGATGGTGATTGGTGGCGGATCCATGATTGAAGGTCAGTTCGGGCGGTCGTCGACCGCTGACCGTTTACCTTTGACAGTCAACAGTAGTAATAGTGATAGTAATAGTGAGATCATTTATTAATATTTAATTAAATAATACTAAAAATTCACAACTCAGAGATGACAACTATCTTAGTAGTACTTCAATTCAAAATTACACAGAAAAAATGATGTTCCCAAAACTCCATTAAATGTTTAACGAAATGTTTTTTAACTTCAATTAGAAATCTTTGTACAGACCCATAAAATGAAGACTACAAACTCATGCAAGACATAGTTAATAAAAATTGGGTCTTTCGAACTATATACTCGTGAGTAAAATAAATTGTTGCATTCTGGTTATTGGTTAAAATAGACAAATAAACAAATTCCATTTCATCTCTGTAAAAATTACTCAATCTCTAAGCCATCTTTTTTTTTTTTTTTTTTT